AGGAACTGATCCCTGTAGTATGGAGAGGAGCTGTAATTCCAGGGATCCCCAGGTTCCACCTGGAGGCCAGCCTCCCTAACACAAAGTAACATTAATACCAACTGGATAATAGTATTTAACGGATTATTATGTACAGGGTACAGGGTAAGTGCAAACTTAGTACTGTACAATATCAAACACAGAACTGAGAAAAGAACACAGAATAAAAATAGACCTTTCTGCCCATATTTATTATTCACTTAGAATATTTCTACATAGCCTTTTCAGAGTCCTGCTCAAGATGGCTCACAATTTAAATCACCACAATATTAAAAGGAGGCCATTAAAAACAAGCCAGGTTTAGACTCTAAATAGATACTCAAGGAAGACAAAAGGAAAAAGGTATAAGAGGAGAATATTAAAATACTTCAGGGAAAAGTAGATGGGGTGATGGAGATCTATGAGCTGGATCTCATGTACATTTTTTATTTATTTCATTTACAAAATTTATATCCCACCTTTTTGCTCACAATGACCACCAAGGCGGCTAACAAAGCAGCTGCAGGGAATGAGGGCACAGCAAACTGCGGTGGGGAAGAAACACTGGGGAGGGCAATTTAAACTGGGAAACAGTCTTTCCCCAGGACCAATCCAATATGGGCCCCCTGCAGCTGTTCTGATTTTTAAAAAGTGATGGATCACAGATCTCCTACATCATGGCCAGTGTAGCCAAGAGTAAACAGGAAAAGGTATGTCATTAAAAGCAGGCAACATTTGGAATATACAAATATGTTCTTATTGGATCAACAGGGGAGGAATTTCTTGTCTGACCTACCCAGTGTAGAGAGCTAGTCAAGTCCAGGGCCTGCTGCTCAAACAGCATAAGCACAAATGCATGTTTTGACCACTTCCCACTTATTCTCTCACATTGTGTTGCAATTATGAAACGTGAAGGAGCTTCTATGGATGGCGTTAGGCTGAAGAAGTCTAGGCTTACACACGTTCCCTCCAAAAGATTGAAATCCATCTTCACTATCACTCAAAAGCATACATGGGAAATATCTGTGCACACAGTGCTGTAGACAGAACAGAGAGCCAACTGGTCATATTACAATTTTTACCAGGGTCCACATGGTCAGGAATGGGAATCTCCCAAATAAGCCAGCCACATGTATTCCTTTCTCCTGACTTGAGATCACTGACATGACATGGCTACATCTGAGCCAAACAGGCAAGTCTGTCTTCTCAGGATTTGTCGTACCTTCGCACATGGTCCCATTGAAGAGCTCAAATCCAGGTTGGCAGTGGCACATGTAGGAGCCAGGAGTATTTAAGCACTTGCCTCCCAGGCAGTGAGTATTTGGGTCTTCACATTCATTAATATCTGTCCAAGTAATGGGGGACATCATTAATGGCAAAGAACAATCTATACATACAAAGCTTATGCTTCAATAAATATGTCAGTCTTGGGATGCGTTTACCTTACTGCAAATAGGTAGGGAGGGAACAGCAAAGCACATCAAAAAATTAGTCTGACATAATTACACAATCCTATACTTTTTTAAAAATTAAAACTGCAATGTAAGAAGGATTATCCACATGAACACCGATGTATGAACTGCACCAGGGATAATTTATGCTATCCAAATCTCCCACAGCAAGCATATTTGAAACTCAGAAGTAATACAGCACTTCCACTGTCTCTCTGCAGTCGCTTCTACATCAGTCTTCCTCTCTGACCTACATTCTGATAAGCTTTGCCCTTCTTATTTTAAAACACAGCAAACAAAAGAATTCCTATTCACACTCACACACACTCTTCTTCATAGTACATTGCTTTTATTCCAGCTATCACCAAGTTGTTATGATTCAATCATAAAAGGCCAGATAGCTGCCACTCCAAAGGGAGAAAAAAACGACCTTCTCCACGAGGTCAGCCCAACCTCCAAAGACATCCATTGCTGATAACCTTTTCCTGCGGCTCTCTTACCCAGCTGTGCCAGCATCAGCCATGGGGGAAAGCCAGTTCAAACAGGCAATCACAAGTTCACAAACAGAAAGGAACTTGCAGGCCTTGAATCTCTGCAAGGAAGACTTTTTCGTTTAATATTTGTTTGACCATTAACTGACTGTTCCCCAATCAACTCAGAAATTAATTAAAAGAAGGATCCAACTAGCTTTCTTGTGAAGGGCCATTCTGCACATGAAGCAGAAGAATCCTGGGTTTTCCACTGAATGGCCACAGAACAGGGATCTAGAGAAAATCACAGCTTTCTAATGAGTGATCCTGTTTGCCACCCATGCTTTCAGACATGGGTTTGTTGCATTTATACTTAAACCAGAGCTAAATATGCCTTAGGAAACCATTAGCCTCAGCAGGTTATCTGTCAATAAGCATGGCTCCCCAAGCAGACATTGATTTAGGCAGCCAAATGAAAGTTTTTGCCCACTGTTTTTATGCCACGTGTATGGAAATCCTCCATGTAATCTATTGCAGAGCTAGACAAACAGTATAGTTAATGTTCCACTTGCTCTCCACCTGTTTCCAATCTACTACTACTTTTTTGAACAATTTCTAGCAGCCTCCTTTCTAACCTTTATGCCTCCTAACGTGGAGTGCAGGGCAAGAATGGGCATTAAGACATCACAAACAGGATGCTGAAAGCTCAGAATGATATGGCTTAAAGGCACATGATACAGCAAACCTGCTTAGACCACCTCAAGGAACATATATGTATGCCCTTTACAGTACAACCCTATGCAGAAAGCAGTGGGCTTAGATTGCTGAAATTTTGCATAGGATTGCACAGTTAGTTTTTCTTTGGGGGGGAGGCAGGGTGTAAATACAGTAAGTAAATCAAAGAGATATTCAGCCAGAGTGTATGTAAACTGGAGAACTGCAGACATATAGATCCCTGGCATCTTCTCAGAACCCATCAAGGTTTATTTAGTGAGTCCTCCTCATTAAAAGCTGGTATACATGAAACTTCTTTATGCTGAGTCAGATTACTGATTTATCAAAGTCAGTATTGTCTACTTTTTGACTTGCAGCAGCTCTCCAGGGTCTCAGGTGGAATTATTTCACATCACTGATCTCTTTTAACTAGACATGCAGCGACTGAAACTGGGACCTCCTATATTCTAAGCAGATGCTCTACCACTGAGCCACAATCCCTCCCCCCAAAACAGGAGACAAGGCAGACTGGCTATTTTTATGGTATATTTTTGAAGAACTGATCATCTCTCTCTTGGTCCTTGGGGGACAAAAGTGGGAGGGCTTCTGGAGTTCTGGCTCTGCTGGTGGACCCTCCTGATGCAATCTGGGTTTTGGCCACTGTGTGGCACAGAGTATTGGACTAGATGGGCCATTGGCCTGATCCAACATGGCTTTTATGTTCTTATCTTCTCCACAGGGACCAGGTTGAAATTGACATGGCTTACTTGATCAGGTATACAACATACCTTGTGAAACTCAACAGTGGTCCTATCAACTCATGGATGGCAAAGCCATTTAGAGTTCTCATACACTTTTCTTCCTCAAGCAAAAAAACCCAGGGTTTAAGAATTGAGAAGTGAACCAGGGAAAATTTAGCTTTACAGAGGGCAGAGTCTTGCTGATATTGTGGGGCTTTTAACCTCTGCACCTGAACTTTTGTTTTGCTGTATGGATTGAATGTGTATACACTGAGCTGACTGTGTGAATGAACTGGCAACCATAAGCAGAAATTAATAGTTTGCATACCATGAAGTTGTGAGAAAACCCACACAGGTGCTCATGTGTAGGCTGACGATTTGTGCTTGTGGCTTCCAGTTCACATGACTAGACTGCTGCAGAACACAACCCATGAGGGAGGAGAGCCAAGACTGACATAGAATAAAGTTCCACAAAACTGGATTTTCATGAGGTTCAGTTTTTTTCCTTGCAAAAGTTGCAATGACAGTGGTGCAAAAAGGCCATATCATTGGCATAAAGTAGTACTGGAACCAAGTATATAGCTAAAGAAAGTGCATGGGCTTCAACTTTCCTAAGAAAGGGGGTCATATCCAGTGTTCCCTCTAAGCTGAGTTAGTGTGAGCTGGCTCACAGTTTTTTAGCCTCTGGCTCACACATTTTTGCCTTAGCTCAGAAAGGAGGGCTCCAGAGCAAACTAATTTATGCAGTAGCCAAATCGCTTGCTCACAACTTTAATGGCAGTAGTTCACAAAGTAGGATTTTTGCTCACAGGACTCCACAGTTTAGAGGGAGCATTGGTCATATCATTCATACACACACACACACACACATATGGGTCATTTCAAGCCAGAGCACGCAGGAGCGGCGCTCCGGCAGTTAGAAGCACAGGAGGAGGAGGCAAGCCCCGCCCCCAGCTCCCAGCAGGAGGCCAAAGCAGCACGTGTAGCTTTCCTCAATGGCTACCATGTAAGCGCAAAGAACTTGCAGAGAATGGAGGGGGTGGAAGAAGCAGGTGCGCATGGCCTTGTTTCTCCCCCTCCCCCAAGATTTCCCTCTAAGGTAGAAGGTGGCCATCGGAAAGCCACGCGTGCTTGTTTCTCATTCGTTCTGCTGTGTGCGAGCTGGAGACAGAATCAGGGCTGGGCGAGAAGACAGAATGCACCCCACCTCTCCTTTCCTCCACCACCACCCCGCTCCAGCCCGTGTGGGGCAGAGCGGTTTCTTTCAGGCAGGCGTTGGCTGGGCAGTGATGGTGGATGATGTGGATGGGAAGCTAAGGACTGAGCGAGGAGGTGGTAGCGGCAGCCCAGAAGAGACAGAGGCTGCCACTGCAGCCAGCGGCTGGCTCAGGGGAGGCAGCATGCTGTTGAAAGTAACACTGTTGGCGCTTGTGGTATTGGCAGCCTATCAGCTCTATAAGCACTGGAGATTTTTGGGATGGAGCCTGAGTGGTGGGTGTTGCCTTCTGACACACTTCTGGTGATGTCAGGGGGTGTGACCCTTTCAGGCAGGCGCTGGCTGGGCAGTGATGGTGGACAATGGGGATGGGAAGCTAAGGACTGAGGGAGGAGGTGGTAGCAGCAGCCCAAAGGAGATGGAGGCTGCCGCAGCAGCCGACAACTGGCTCGGGGGAGGCAGCATGCTGTTGAACGTGACACTGTTGGCGCTCATGGTATTGGTGGCCTATCAGCTGTAAAGGTGCCGGGGCAAGTGGAGCGGGGTGTGTGGCGCGGCGCAGCAGAGACCGGCCTCTTTCTTGTGCCCCATATGAAGTGGGGGGGCTTCACACTGGAGCAGCTGCATGAGTATGATGGCTCACACACACTGTGCATACTCCTGGCCATCAACGGCAAAGTTGTGACCAAAGGCACCAAGTTCTACAGGCCCAGAGAGGAGAAAGGGGGATGGGGCCCCTCTCCCAGACGGTCTCTTATCCCTACCTCCTGTCCTCTTTGCCTGGGTCAGGCATTAGGGAAGGCCTGAGGGGAGTGCCTCGTCTCGCTCTTAGCCGTGCCTGCCACCCCGCCCCTGGAGCAGCTATAGGGGGAGGTGCGCGAGGGTACCTGGTCTTCTTCGCCTAGCCACGTGGGTTGTTGGCGTGAGTCCAGGGCGCTGAAAGAGCACCTTTCCCAGCAGGGCTAGTTCCCATGTTGAAAGGTCCTAGCCCTTTACGTAGTCCCCTAGTGTGCTTGCTCAGAAGTCTCACTTGTGTTTGGGGTTTATTCCCCGGGAACCGTGCATAGAATTGCAGGCTGTTTTATTTCAAACGTGTGCTTCCCCTGTGCGTTTGTAGTTGACTAGTTCCTGTGTTGAAAGGTCCTAGCTCTTTATGTAGCTCCCTAGTGTGCTTGCTCAGAAGTCTCACTTGTGTTTGGGGTTTATTCCCCGGGAACCGTGCATAGAATTGCAGGCTGTTTTATTTCAAACGTGTGCTTCCCCTGTGCGTTTGTAGTTATCCTTGGCATATTGCGTGTGCCTGCCTGCTTCCTACTTTGATGAACAAGACTATTAACCTAGAGAAGTAAACGTGCCGACGTTCTAGTGTTCTTTTATTAAGGAATTGGGCAAGACTCGGCAATTACGTTTGGGCTGCAGTCCCACAAATAGTTATAGAGTTTATGCTAATCTAAGTAGACATGGAACTGCAGGCTTGGTCCTGTACTAAACGTATAGGAATAGTCTGGCTGACCTCTAGCTACGCAAAGTTCTTGGCACCTGGAATACAAATTGTACAGTAGTGGCCCTGCTTCTTGTTACGTTATGTTAAATGGGAGTTGGTTTGCAGTTTTAGTCACTTACAATTCAATCCTAAACATACATACTTGCAAAGTAAACGTTTTACATATTTATTTCCACCACTGAAGGCTGGAACAAACATCAAGCCCCCCCATCTCTAGCTCACACAGTGTTTTGAATTTATGCAAAAATATTAATAACTCATTATGTGAAATCTTTACAGGATTTCAGTAATGTTTTATAAAGCAGCAGCATCTGATAATTTTGTGGTTGTGATCCTCTGGAATATTCAGCCACTTGAAAGGAAAAACAGTCCACTCTACAGGCATTAAATTGAGTGACAAATAAGTTATTATTTGATTGATTGATTGAACAAAGTTTGAGTTCAGTGGCAGCTTTAAGACCAACAAAGTTTTATTCCAGGTATAAGCTTATTTGTCATTTATGGTCCATTTGTCTCACTGAACTATGTATTATTTGTAGAGGTACTGTATTATTTGTATAGAAGCCCTAAAAATATCTGGGTAGCTTACCATGTGCTTTATTGGGGATGGGGGAGGAAGCCTAAGTAAAAGAACTTGCTGTTCAGAGATTAAAACTGTTGGGAAGTGTGTCACCTCATCCCCACCCCTTTACTGGCTGTTATGTTTTGGGATACTTTTTACAATATTCAAAGATTCTTTCGGGCTCTGTATTTTATTGAAGCAATTTCTATCCTTGTAGTTAAGTTACCATAATTAAAACTCAAACAGAATATTGGGACTACTGAGGAAAAGCTGACCAGCTGTACTTCAGTTGATACAAAAACCTCAGCCCAATTACTAGTGGGTGCAAGGCAGAAAATACATGTCACACCTGTGGAGGGGCTGTGGCTTATTGGAAAAACTTCTGCTTGAGGTTAAACCCCTGACATCACCGGTTAAAAGGACCAGGCAGTAGTAGGTGATATTCAAAGATTCTTCCGGGCTCTGTATTTTATTGTAGCAATTTCTATCCCTGTGGTTAAGTTACCATAATTAAAACTCAAGCAGAATATTGGGACTACTGAGGACAAGCCGACCAGCTGAACAGACGTT